GAAATGGCTTTAGGTCATATATCCTTTTCTTAGAATTAATAATTATATTAATAGAAAACACAATCGTTATAATGAACAAATCCTAAAATTAAAAAAAACAACCACTGAGAAGGTAATCATTTTATATAGGAAGTATAAATCTTTAAATTGAAAACACTTATCGTCATCTCTTTCCACGGAAGAAATTCCTTATATGTCTCGCATGAGTACTCACCGTTGCGGACAAAATCAGCAAGTTCCTGAATATCTCTTGGAAAAGACTTAGTTAAAGGATATGTCATAAAAGACATTAACGCCCCCTGTAACCGGATACCAAAACAAGAATGGACAATAACCAAATTCCTATCATGAATCTGGACGCAAATCTTTTCACTTTATTTAGACTCAATCCTAAATTGAATTAGAAACACTTTTTCTTTATAAAACTCAGAGTTTGAGTTATACCATAATTAAAGAATTTTACCTTCACCCAGTAATGTACAAACAAAATTCCAAAAAACTGTACATAGTGTCCATCGTTTTCCTGTTTTTGCAGCGATAAAGTGCTTCTCTAGCACTTTATATAACGTTAGTCCAAATATCAAAACAGTAAAAAATATAGCGATTCAAACCTGATTATATAAAATATAACGTGATATTTGAGTTTTAATTATAGTTNCCCGGAGTTACGCGATTTTCAAATCTCGTCGATTCGTCTTTTGAGCATCACGCAACCCTTGATTACTCACTCCCCCCCACACTATTGTTCAGCTTATATGTTCAGACGTGTCGTGCAGAATTGACACATAGTTACAATTTATTTTGTGTTATTTATTTCTGTGTTTATATCTACAGAGACTTGAGAGACTTTATGTGGTGATTTCTTGTAACCGTGAACGAATCAAAAGACAATATAAGATTAACGAGAACATTTATTAGCTTACATACATCCGACTTGCAAAATTATACCCAGACTTACGCGAATTAGACTTACGCGGTTATCGCTCGGTCCCACCTATCACGTAAGTTCGGGGTATTACTGTACAGTAAACCTGTGTAAACTGGAATCACATCATACCAAACACTTTTCCCAGTTTGGCAGGTTTCTGTTTTGGACAGGGGTTTTTCTTAGCATATAAAATGGTTCTATTTTGAAGAATTTTTCCCATTTGGGAGATTTCTGTTTTGGACAGATTTTACTGTATATGCAAATTTTCAGTTAAACTTGCTTTATTTTATATTTGGTTTTCCATCAAAAGAATATACAACTCATTTATTTCAAACTGAAATATATGATTATTTTGAATAACTAAGTGAGAGAAGCTTCTAAATTGTTTAAAAGATCAAGTTTTTAATTTCACTGTTTTCTTTATTAATTTATGTAATGGATCTGTTTATGTTTCTAATTAAATTCCTAAATTGGTAACATCAGTGTAAAAAGTAAAACAAGACAGTATTTTTTTATCACTAATATTAATACTAAAGTATGGAACTGTTCTTGATACAACAGTACTTATTGCTGTTAAGATTAATATACTGTGTAGTACATATTCAGTACCTAAAATATTTTAAAATCTATTTCATGCTTTAACACTCATTGACTTTAATGTAACATGAATTAACCAAAATATAATAAGAAAAATGAACATGATTGAGTGTGACACCTCAATTTTACAGACTCTATTTTTTTTCTTGTGTCTTCAAGGATTCATGGTTTGGTTTATTCTGTTGTTTGAATATGTAAATGAAAATAGCCAGAAATGTGTGTTAGTATATCAAGTCTAGTCTAATAATTTAGGAAATTTTTATGTGATATATTAACTACTATAATAATCATTGGAACAGTAAGGATACTTTCTATGCAATAATAGAGTAATAGTATAGTATGGAGTATTTGGACTATATTTTTCAAAATATATTAATAAATTGAAAGCATATAGAAGGCCATTGATGATGATTATTTTATTGGTGGTTGATATCTTAACATTTATGCTTATTTGATGGTCATATCCAGGGGAATGCTTATGCAGCAGCAGCACTCTCTTGATACAAAGTGATCAGTTTAATACTTTCAAATATATATCATATGACTTATTAAAGTAATCTTATACAATCAGAAAGAAACATAAAAATTTAAATTAGTACTTCTTGTAAACACAAGTCAGAACTATGGAGCACAGACTAAAGATAATTATATGTAAATTTAAAATAAGTAATTTCAATAATTTTTGTCAATTATTATTCTATTAAGATTATTTATACATTTACAACTACAAAACGCATTTTTAAGTGTATTCCTTACTATAGTTATTTTTTTTAAATGTATTACTTAGCTTTAATTTGAGTGTGTTTTTCGTGTTGGAACGAATTATTTGGTTTTACATGTAATTGTATGGGGAAAAATGATTCACCTTACGACATTTTCATGTTACGATCTCAGTGTCGGAATGGATTAATTTCGTATCCTGAGGTACCACTGTATTATTTTAACGTAACTTGTTTGTTATTTTACGTACTTTAAATTAATATAAACGCAATATACACTTATAACGTAATATAAACAGTTTTAATTTTAAATAAGTTTGCATTTATGGGGTGTCCATAAATGATATCCACACTGGAAGGGATGGAAGAGAGTTGAGCGTCAGTGGACGTCCGTTTATTTCATTAATTAATTAAATTTTATACAGTTTATGCGTTTTACTATATTTATTTCAAAATTTCTTGTATCGTTTCTACTTATGGCATGTGTCATTCATGAAGTGATAAAGGTTTTAAGGAGGTGTCGAATTTTGTTGGACGTCCGAAGAGGGGAGGAGGTTACAGAAACTTGGACAAACTGAGACGAGGGGAGAGGGAGTAAAATTTCAAGAAAATGCGGACGTAATTTATGGACAGCCCTATGTGTTAAAATACTTAAACTACATTTAACTACATTTTCAAAAGCACATTGTAAGTTTTTGTTGCACAGAATAATTAAAAAATGTTCTCTCTTCGTAATATACTTCACACTTATTAGAGCATTAAAACTGTTTCATCTACATGGATATAAACACAGGTTTTAGTATGTTTTCTTGTCATCGGTTAATTTCAAAATTGATTCGTGATTTGTTGTATGATTGGTAAACTACTCGCAGGAATTCCAAACTTTGCTGCAATGTCTTTCTTTTTGAGCCTTTATCGACTTTCCGCAACACACTTTTTATAGTAATGCTTATACACTATATTAACAGTTCTTCAAATTTCAACTGGACAACTTATTAAATTAAATAAAATCCTACTAACTTCAAAAATTAGTCCAACAGTTGTCGAAATTATCACCTTTCTAACGTTTTTGATATTCGTTAATTGTAAATCGTTTATCTGTCGACGGCATTTGGATCTAATCACACTCCCCTTTACAACCGGTAGCCATGTGGGGAGGAAATTACACGATAGTTTTAAAAGCTAACAACCTGTATTTCTCATACCTGGGCCGCAGTTTTACAAAGGGTTTACAGATTGAGATCTGAAGTTGAACCTAAATTCGAACTCCTCAGAGGGGAGTGATCGACTTTTAATGATCGATGGTCTTTACAAATTAAAAAATAATTCGTTATATAGAAATTTAACTTCGTTATTTACAAGCACTTTTGCATATATTTTTGGTTGAAAAGAAGTGTACTATGCAAAAATGCGTTATATGGAGAAACTCGCCGTATAGAATTTCGTAATATGGAAGTTTGATTATTTTTTTATAATTTATAATATCAAATACTTTCTGAAAATTCGATGCAGGTGTCTTGAAATCGTTGTATGGGTCACCATTGCGGCTAAAGACATTCAAATTTATGATTTTATTTGTATTATATAACTTTGTATATGTTATTTAAAAAACTTTTGCTCTCTCTCAAAATTCTATATTCTTCCAGAAAGTATAGGCCTATTATGTTGTAAGGTGGGTCAATCTGTGTTAGCAATCTTTGGCCTTTTTTAAGTTTAATATAATTATTAAACTTAAAAAAATACCGTTGTTATGTAATTTTATATATGTTATGTTTAATTTTTTGTTTGATAATACAGGGTGGGCCAACGAAAACGAAACGGCAAAGTTATCGTGTTCGTCCAAGCAAATCGTTCGGACAGGTGGATTTTATTCTCAAGGGGAAATATTTTTTTCCTTGCATATGCGGTCCAGCTTAAAAGGTTTTTTTTTATGTTTGTTAATAGTTTGTGTTACTTTTTTCCGAAATAAGTGTTTGTTTAGTTAATAAAAAATGAATGAGTTTTTAAAATATTTTGTTGTCTGTTGTATTCAAAATCACAAAAACTTTATTGCAGAAGATGTCCCCTTGATAATAAAATCGACCTGTCCGAGCGATTTGCTTGGACGAACACGATAACTCTGCCGTTTCGTTTTCGATGGCCCACCCTGTATAATTTTACAAAGTGATACTTTTTATAAAAACTTATTCACAGTTTAGTTTTGATTTTTAATCATTATTACAGTTTCACATTAGAAAGGAATTTGATAGGAATACACATAAAGGAATCTATTGGAATCTATTGCGATTTTTCATGATTAATTTTGATTAGTTTCATTCTCTATCCATCATTGTTGATGGGATCTTACATACAGTAATAAACATCCTCTGTTGAGAAGGGACATTGTTTTCAAAATAAAACTTTTTATACTTTGTAACATGGTGATTTTTTCATTACAAAGCTCATTACCATATAGTAGTAGATAGAAGTTCATTGTCATTTTTTACCTATTTGCATTTTTTCGAACGAAATTTAATTTGACTGAAGTTAGGTTTAAATCTTCAAGAATTCTCGTGTACTATGGAAGAATATCCAGATATATGTAACTATAACAGGTTGATTATAGTTACATAATATATGGAATATATCCATTATCTGAATTAGGTTTATGTGAATGCTCGTTTTGTACGCAGATTCTTCGATTTTGATTTTCACAAAATACATTTATTCATTACAAAAATGAGAGAAAAAATTTAGTATTTGCTTATTTCTTTTAGAAAAAGCAGTTATAGCAAAATCCAGCGTAGTTTTAGACGTCAAGCCTTGGGATGACGAAACGGATTTGGCAGAAATGGAGAAAAAGGTGCGAGAAATACAGTCGGACGGACTCCAGTGGGGAGCTTGTGAGTTTATATTTAAGTAACTTGTTGTGTGATTAAAATTTTTTTCAAATTTATTAAGTTGAATTCTGTTATGTATGCAGCCAAACGTGTACCATTGGCGTATGGTATTTATAAACTTCAAATCGTGAGCATAGTGGAAGACGAAAAAGTCAGTATCGACTGGTTAGTAGAAACAATTCAAGAAATCGAAGACTATGTGAGTATTTGTCAACTCTCATCCAAAATAATAATCCTTGATCTTTCGTAAAGACTTGTTTTTAAACTTTCTTTCCAGGTACAAAGTGTAGACATCGCTGCATTTAACAAGTTATAATTCTGTTATTTGAAAATGTTTTTCTAAATTTGGAAAAATAAAATAAAATTTTTTTGCATCTAATTCGTATGTAACGTAAGATTGTGTTACTTTAGAATTATTTACAGAATAAAATCGTAATTAGTAAAAATTAAAATCAACGAAAATGAAAAGAAAGCTTATCTAAAAATTTAAAATGCAAACAGAAAAATGGAGATAAACAGGTTAATTAAAAAAATAGTAATTTACATTTAAAATGTTATAACAAGTTCTCAAACTCGTTAGTGCGTTTTTAGTAAACATTTAAGCGTTGTTTCTTCGATTGTCGATTATGGGAACATAAATTGAATGTACCATTTAGATGGAACACACTTAATTTTTTACATACATCTCTTGAGGATAAAGTTGATAAATATGTTGTTACTAATTTTGCTTAAGTGGCGTATAGTATGAATCAATATGCTAAACCATGCCATTTGACTGAAGTAACGGGAATTATTTTACATTTTTCTAACAATCTATCTAGAATGTAGCGTTAGAAAGTAGTACTAATTTTTACATACACAAAGTATCATTCTTACCATCAACCTATTATCTGATGATTGATACATTTCACCTTAGATGGAGGTTTATCAAATTGTAACTTAATTAATTGAACAATTATTTCAATTACATATCTCATTATAAACTAGCAATATTCATCAAAGCATATATTATTTATATTTCTTTGAGTACGACATCTTCGTAAACTATTACTTTCGGCGGAGCTAAACTATCAGAAACTTGTTTTTATCATTAGACAGCATAATTGATCTATAGCAATTGTCGAATAACTGGTTTTTACGCGTTCGGAGCTGCAACACGGTTATAAGTTATATTTAGTAATAAAGATGCTGCACTCGTTTTTCCTCTTCGACCAGAAACGGCTCACCTTTATAAATAGCCAGACCTCGAAGCTCATTGGTACAGACATCGATAACGCGGGCGAGAGAATCGCTACTCGCTTGGCTTCTCGTAGTAATTTGAGCGCAAGTAGGCGTCTGGCGGAAAAGTTTCTCGCTTTTAACGCGATAAGAGTCGTGTTTATACTATTGCGAAGCATGATATAGGTCAAGGCGAAAGCGATGAGAGCGAAATAATGCAGGAAGGGCGGCCGAGTTGGATGTAAAACGCCGGGAGTTCTTGGAACGGTGAAATTTCCTAATTCGGAGAGAAGTACGAAAAATACTTCGGGAATTAGGGCAGGCGAGTTTGTTTCAGGAAGGAAAATTTGTTTACGAAAAATTGCTGGTAGAGAATTTCACGTTTGTTGATGTTGATTAAATTATTAATAGATAATGATGAATGTTCTGAGTTATCTATAGGTAGGGATTTTCGATGGGAGGAGCAGTTTAGAATTAACAAAACGATTTCAATCAATCAAGATCTAGCTGTGATCATCTAGAATATATATATGAAGTCATGTAAAGAATACTAATTTAGCAACACGGGAAATATATTATTAAAATTAGTCGCGCGTGTAGGAAGTGATGCTGATCTCGCACCTCTCGATCTCGTCTTTGCTATAGAGCAGGGTGAATTCAGTGTTTTATGGTGTAGAGTTCTAAGTAGGCGGGCATATTGCCGGTAAGATACATGTTCGAACCCATGTTCTGCAATATAAACAGTCCGGTTTTCGGTGACGTCGGTAAGGTTGTTTAACGGAGTTGATGACCTTCCGTTTTTTCCAGGTAAAATGTTGAGGTGAACTATGTCATTTCCCGAAAAGTTGAATGAAACCTTTCTCAATTATAAAATTTTCGGTTCTTTGTCCTTGGGTTATACGCGGTTTGGGGAAAAGTGCAAACTACACCCAACCGACAATTAAGGACTCGTTTCCTCTACAATGTGGGTCCAGTTTATCCACATTCCTTTACCGTAATGTGGGTCACGTCGTCATTTTGTCATGGAGATCACGTGCTGAGATGGCCAACTCGAGGACGACCGGTCCGACGTATTCTCGACGGATGATCTAGCCGGTGTTTGACCCTGTTCTCGACGCTAACGCAACGCGCGGAACCGTTATGCTCTCGAGACGTTCGTGTTATCTCTTCTCTGGGCGTAACTCGGTCGATATCCGGAAGTCGAACGTCTCCCAAGAAGGAAAATCGGGACAGATTCCGGAGACGGTTGTAAAAAAAATTGCGAAATTTCGTCCTTATTTGTTATATAGAGCATAGAGGATCAGAGTAGTTTTTCTCGATGGCAGCGGAGTTCTTCCGACCACGAGTAGAAAAAGTCAACACATTATTCGAAATTTCACTCGATCGTTTCGTGTCGTCCTCGTTTTGAAGAAGAAAGTGGCATCTTGACGCGACGCGACCATCCGGACGACCATTAGAGAAACTAGTTGCACGTTAAACCGGTTGGTTCTGGATCGAAACCTAAATGTACGAAGCTGGAGATTGGTAGGAAGGAGTTTCACCGACACATCATTCCTGCCAATCTGTAGCCAGTCGTACTGCGGCCGAGGTTAGTGGGTCATGTGGTCGTTGCGCGTATAAAATGTAGGAGCGATGGTATGACAAAAGCATTTTGCTGGAACCACAAGAACAAGACTTTCCCTCCGGGCCGCGTCATGGTAAGTCGTTATTATTATTTTTTTTTAACACGGAGCCACTTAGCCTATACGTGATTATCGGATGACACTACTATCTTTTTCGTTTTGTAGAAATTACAGCTAATTTTACTTTTGGTATTGTGCGCGGCCTGGGCCGCTTCCGAATCGAGTACTCGTAAGAAGGCTTCTCGACGCCGACCTCCGGCCGAAGTTCCCGAAAGCCCGGAAGAAGTGGAGCCCGAAAAACCAGATAAAAAACCGGAGTTGTTGGAGGAACCTCGGTTAGAAGAACCCGTTAAAAACGAGAAACCCAAGACCGAATTGCCGGAGATTTCGCCGCCCGCCGAAGATAACGAAAAGAAAAATGCCTCGTCGCCTTTATCGCAGTTATTCGCGCCACGGGGCACCCGGCGTCCAAGGCCCGTTCCTCGCGCACCCGGACGTCCTCGTCCGACCTTGCCTTCGTTTATCAGAAATCCTAACAGGGTGCGCCCAACGCCCGCTGCCGTAGTCGCCAGTCGTAGAAATACTCAGAAGAAAGATTCGACGCCATCGACCACCTCCGGAACCAGTAAGGCACCCACTAGCAACGGGAATTCGGACAGACGCCGCACTACCAGTGCCCCGGCCTCCACCGCAGGTTCGGAGGGGGGAAAACGGTTCGGACGCAATGGTTCGAACGGTCGTAGCGGACGACAGAAAGGGGCCCGGCCCTCCGCCAGACCTTCGTCTTCCTAGAGCCGCGACTCTCTTCAGTCGAATTCTAGTCCCGGTGCACCCTTTCGCTTACTTCGATTTCCATGCATATGTTAACAACTGTTAGAATCTCCATATGGGTGCGCCAAGAACTACACGTCGCTACGGCCGGCATCTTCTCATATCGAACTCTTCATTATCCCAGTTTTGTCGGCACAAATTGTAACTCGAGCCAACATCTGTACCGAATCGATACATTAACTCATAAGTAATCTCGATTGATGTAAATAAAGTTGTTTTACACTCACTGTGTAATGCTTTTCCATCTAAAGGTTTCGGCCAAACGGGAAAGTGTCACGAATAAAAAAAGACGGCGACCTTATTCACGATGGCGCCTACTGCACTTTTTTCCCCGTTCGAGGCTGAGAATTTCGCGATTGTTATCGGAAGGGAAAAATATCGCGCTGAACTGACGAATAATAAGTGCGACGACTTTCGTAACACCCAGTTTGTCCATAACTTTATTAACCTGAAATCGTTATCGATAATGATTTTACGTTGTAAATTTTGTTAGGATGCTTATAAATCTACAATCGATTCTCTGGTTTATATCGTAATGTGTGGATTACTGTACCGAACGAGAGATTAAATTAAATTTTATAAAATGCCCATGTAATTACTATGTGATCTCCGGAAGTGATACGGTAAATTGTGGCTATAATAGTATTGATGAGAAATTTTTATCGTGCGGGGTAAAAAAGTTTCAGTTTGAAGCGTAACTTAAAGGACATTGTTGTATTTTTAATTTTAATTTTAGTCATATTGGAAATGCTTCAGAAAGGTCCTAAACTTAACTTTGACCTATATTGCCACTATCAAAGTAGACTAAAATGCTAATTTCGTAATGTTGAAATGTGTGGTAATCGTCACTAATGTCAAATGATGCCGAAATGTTATGCTTCGGTTTTACATTTAATCACGTTTTCCAAATATAAATTTTTAAAACAGCAGGAAGTATTTTTCCGATCCTATAATTTTGAAATTTTTACGGAATTATTGATATTACATTAAAACATATACAGTTAAATATTATATTTCTTAAACTAATTTTAAATTGAAGTTAGAAATATATTATAGTTGTAGCATTGTTTAATTTCTGATTATTTAAAAATTCAATAGAATTGTTACTAATCGTACAAACACTACATAAATTTTCAAAACTAGCAAAACAAATTTTTTCAATACGGTAATAACTTATTTGTATAACCAACATATAATTATACATTATGTAATATTATATATTGATCTTGATAAATTTTTAAATTTATTGCACAGAGAAATTCCTACTTCAGCAGCGGCTTTACCATAACCTTTTCGTCAAAAATCACGAGATTGTCTTCTAAAATGTTGGTTCATGAATTATGGAGTGGCAGATAAGATAGGGTCGGAATAAGACTTGAATTCATAATTGAAAAATACAAAGAATCAATTGAATAAACTGAAGCACTCATTTCTTCTAAAAGTTTGAAACGATAAAAAATTTTCAAGTATCGTTCTTCATTACAAGCATATATTGGTTTATGGATGGACGAATATTATAGTAAGTCGTAGTTTAGTCTTTTATATTTTAACTCAGCTCAACGGATACTAACGACTGTGTTCACAATCTAGGATCAAGAGTTACAAGTTAACCAATAAGCGTTCATGTACTAAAAGTGAACTTCTAACTCTCTTGATCCTTGGTTGTAAACAGTGACCGATTTATTTAGCTCAGTGTTTTTCACCTTCTTGAATACGCGACCCCTTTACAAGTTAAAAAATTCTGGCGACCCCCAGGGCCATATTAAAACTATATCAGTGATTTTAAAAACTACGTATTTAATTTTCTTTCTTTAAATATCGATGATCGAAAAACCAATTGTACTGTAAAATAAACAGGCACAGCCTTCTCACTGAAATTCTAGATTTTTTTATTGTAGTGTTGGACCTACAAACACTTGTCCTTTTTTTTTCACTCGCGACCCCCGTATAAGGCTTTGGGACCCCCTTGGGGGTCACGACCCACAGGTTGAAAAACACTGGTTTAGCTGATGCAAATACAAGCTAAACAAGCTGCATTTTAGGAGCTCGCATTTTTACATATATGGCTGTTTGGTGGAGAGATAGGGCTTGTTATATATTTAAAGCTTAGGACCCCAAGTGTAAGGGTTTATTCGTAAACCATGTTTCGTATTTTAGTTAAAGTTTAAACCCTCCCTTCTCATTAGTAGTAAAATACGTCTGTAGTCTCAACCTCCAAAAAAGTTGTAAGGAAATTTCAAGACCCTCTTTTTTGGAAAAATTATATTATGCCATCAAAACAAAAAGTGAGAGCAATAACATTTAGTTACACAAGTTACACTTGTAATATGTTTAATGCCCATGAATTACGTTTTTACTGCATTGACCTCAGTGAATCTTCAATAAATCTTCTCGAACTATAACCGTTCTGATTTGCAAATTTTCCTCAAATATCTCAGATGATCCAATCCTCCTGTTTCTTCCAAGTTATTAACTTTTTTGTGACCTTATGTATAATTCGTTTTATATTAAAAATTATTTAGAAAACTACTATTATTTTCCAGTGTCAGATCGTTTTAAAGTAATTTTTCGATTTTTAAAATAAAAAAAATTATTTTCAATACACTGATGTCGGCATTCGTGTTTTTTAAAAAAACACTGTTTCTCTACAACCCAGGTTTAGATAAAGAGGATAAAAAATGATGAAAGTAGCACTTCACTCAACCGATTTTAATGCATCTGCGCATGATCAATGTTAATTTAATTGACTGACTAAAAATTATCAATATTTTAAATTGCTTGTGTTTAATTAATTAATTTAAAATAATAACTACGTGTTTTTTATTTTACCCATTCCCCCACCGTGATCTTTTCTGGTTTTTATATCCCCGCTCCCCTAAACCAGAAAATATGGTTTATGGATGAACTTCAAGTCCGATCGCTGTTGCGAATATAGACATAAGGGGCCATTTTTTCGTGTCCAATCACGAGTTCGTTTAGGCTTACAACGGGATGCAGTTGAGTAGTGAGTAGCTCATAGCGACAGACCACCCCACTCATCATACGGCACTAAATCGTCATTTTTCCATTTTTATCAAATGTTTTACATGTTGTCTATCTGCAATATTAAGATACTTTCATTCATTGTGCATTCAATGAAGCATGAACTTTGGTAAAATATATATTACCAATATATTTTACCAAAGTTCATGCTTCATATAGGGGAGACCGGGGCAAGATCGGCATGTTTAGCTTTACTTAAATTTTGTGTAATAAATACTGCTGTAAACTGAAAAAAAAGCTTTGCATATTGTCTATTGGAATGTTACCTTACTATAGAACTGGTTAAAATCAGTTTGGAAATAAAAATAATTAAAATAATTACAACTTTACAAGAAGAGAGAAATTGACGAAGTTGCCCCGGGTATAGGGGCAAGATCGGCAACTTCTCTCTTTTTGTAAAGTTGTAATTATTTTAATTATTTTTATTAAAGTTGCCCCTGGTATAGGGGCAACAGTAATGGGGCAAG